CTAATAAAAATGTCAGAGCAGGTGATCAAATGGTATATGAAGTTAAACAAACTAACCTCAGGTAGGAAGGTAAAACACTAAAGGTAAAGGTAAAGGTTCCCCTTGACAATTTTTGTCCAGTCGTGTTTGACTCTAGGGGGCGGTGCTCATCCCTGTTTCCAAGCCATAGAGCCAGCGTTTTGTCCGAAGACAATCTTTCCATGGTCACGTGGCCAGTGCGACTTAGACACAGAATGCTGTTACCTTCCCACTGAGGTGGTCCCTATTTCTCTACTCGCATTTGCATGCTTTCAAACCGCTAGGTTGGCGGGAGCTGGGACAAGTGACGGGTGCTCACTCCATCGCGTGGATTTGATCTTACGACTGCAAGTCTTCTGACCCTGCAGCACAGGCTTCTGCGGTTTAGCCCGCAGCACCACCACATCCATAAAACACTAAGTGCATTCAAATATATGTTTGCTTGTAAATAAGTCCCTCTGTTAAGTATGCACACAGAGGATTGTGCCCTTTGGTTGCTAGCAAATTACCTTTAAAAATGTATTTAATATTGATGCCTTCTTGACAGGGCTGAACCCGATGATGCACAGGATCCCTTCCAGCTCTGTAGTTCGATGTTGATGGTGCTAGTGGTGGTGATTAAAAGCATTTGTATGTTACCAGCTTGATGGATCAGCTGCTTTAAGTTTTGTGCCAATAGCCCATGATCCCTGTTATTATTCAGTCATTGTTTATCGTTACAGCTACTGATCATTGTCTTGCATGAGACTGACTGGAGACGGAATAATGGAAAAAGAGAACAAAGACATTCTGGAACACATTTTTGTACACGTGAGAATCTGCTTCAGCTTGACACAACTGAAAGCAGAGTTTGGTAGAACACAAAGTTACCAGGCAGGAAACTCTTGAGATTGCCTTGTCCCTGTGATCCTTCTTGATATTGCTGCACAAAGATGCATTGTTATAAAAACTTCTCAGTCTTTAGTATGATTTAATACTTCATCTAGACAGCTGCATAAGATTAATAATACATATTCTGTGCTGTCAAGTTGATTACAATTTATGGTGACCCTCCCAAGGTTTTCTCAGTATAAAGTAATCAGAATGGTTTACTACTCCTTTCTTAAATGGTGTTCTGCAACTGTGCAGCTTGCTCAAGGAGACAGGACACGTCACCCCATCTCCCACACATTGTATGGGTGATCTTGGCTAGTGCATCCCTGTAGCCATGCTGGAGATTCAAACTTCCAGCTCCTGGATCTACAACCCAGCACCCCAACCTATTGCGCAACACCAGGGCAAAATCCAGATTAAACAATACTAGAAAAGCTACATGGTAAGTTGCTCTAGGTCTGAGGCAAGGCTCCATTCATGTGACTCACTGAGAACATGTGGAACAGTGGAGAACATCTGTACCTGGCTTTGCACTATATTTACTTTTCCTGATAGTGGAAATCTGGGCCACTTTGATTGAAGGATGTTTAAATGAACATGCTATCAAAGCTGTAGCCTAGGAGCTATGATTTCAGAACTGGTGGAGTCTACTCATTTCCCCCTAAAAATAACAATTTGAAGAGGCCTCAAGTGTAGCTCATTATTTTCATAATGTAGCTCAGGTCCTAGCAACATTACCAACACTGAAAAAAAGTGTATTATTTCATTTGTCTTCATATTTAAATGAGAAGATAAGGGCCATCATCAACATAACATGAGTTCCTCCCATTTAATTGTTTTGCTTAACTCTCCAGAAGTTTTAAGTTGGTTTGCAGGGGGGAAAGGTTTGAGAATCACTGTGAAATATACATCAGATATATACATATATAGGCCCAAACTAACTGTTATCTTAAATCAGTGACAGCAGGCTGGTATAAAAATTGTAAGCTTCTCTCCACTCTTTTCCTATTTGTCTATATACTAAGGATTTGCATTCAGATTTGGAAATATTCAGAATTCACCAAATAATGTTATACCTGGATTGTTCTGAATATATCTGGATCCAAATTTTTGATGGGTTCTGAATATATGCAATAATATTTCTTAATACTGTATTCAGTTTCATTTATTCCTATAGATTAGAAAGCAAAAGGCTAGATTTCTGCTTGCTAAAGGAAGAAATGAAAGTAAAACTGATTTCTCAGGCATTCTGGAGTGATTTCTTAAAAAATGAAATTTAAAGACACTCTTGACACTCAAGGGTAGTCAAGACAGAGAACTCGGTGCCTCTTGATTGAGGTTGCCATTGGTTTTCCAAGGGACAGGGGCTGGAGTGAGAGCAAAACCTGTAAATAAGGTCTGTCTGTACCAATGAAATCAAGCCAGGCACAGACACCAGAAGATTTTTTTTAAAAAAACATTGATTATTTCCCCAGAACATTAGCTGTTAGGATATGCTCTGGAGCAAGCCTGCACTGCAGCAGTTTTCTCTGTGCCCCTTTCTGAACCCTCAACCCCCATTTACATTCTCTACATCTCAGTGTATGTTGTTGACTTAATATTGTTAGGAATAAGATTCAAGATTAGTAGATCTATACATTAATATGTTATGTTAGGAATAAGATTTAAGATTAGTAGATGTATACATTAATATGTTAGAAATCAGCAGAGAAATATTAGGCACTTGGGGATGGTTGCAGGAAGCTGCCTTTATCCATTGCAAGAGTTTCTACTGAGAGGAGGGGGAGGGGGAGAAAGCCAATATGAGTCCCCAAACAAAAGCTGTCACCCAGCCGCCTTGTTCAGCATTGATACCATGAAAGAGCAGCAGGGTGTGTGTGTGTGTGCCTCTGCCAAGGAGGTGGCAGAGAAGCCTCTGTTTCAAAGTGGGATAGATATGAGTGAAACTGAGCCATGTCCCAGTGACATCTTTGTGCCATCCATCCAGGGCAAGGGGCCAAAAAAGATAGTGAAGAAGGCACTTTTCTCCCAAAGAGCGTGCTGCTGTTTTTGGGCTGGGAAAGAGATTTGTGAAGAGAACCAGACATTGCCTTCCATATCCATACCGTGCATCTCCATCATATTCAAGGAAGGATTTATCCCCAGCCACCAGAGTGGACTTCGGCTAGATGGGCAGTTTGTTTGCTTGTTTATTTATCAAACAAACAAATTACCAGCAAATCTCTCCTGTGCAAAGCAGCGTGGTGGTTGTTTGGGACTCCCCTTCACATGCATACACATCTGACATGGAGGAGGAAGAGATTGAGGAGATCAAGGTGGGCGCTATTTCAGAAACATGTGACACCAGAATCACCCCCGCCCCTCTGCTGGACTCACTCCACCAGTTGCCAGAACTAGTAGAGATGACAAGTTAGCAACTTTCCATCACATGCAGCAGAGGCTCATGAAGAAGGTCCAGCTAGTAGAGAGGGGTCACACAAAGCAGGAAACGAGCAATGGTCATAGCATCCCAAACAGCAGTACCAGCATTTGTATTCTACAGTTCATGTTCATCACTCCTGTAACCACAAAAGGTTTTGACTCTCTCTCTCTCTCTGTGTGTTTAAGGGGAATATGATGTCTATGTCACTCTCTCTCTCTCTCTGTGTGTGTGTTTAAGGGGAATATGATGTCTGTGTCGTATTCATATTGACTGAAATGGAGTTCTGGATATTTAGAAATTCTGAATTTTTAATGTTTTGAATGCCAAATTCAAAGGACTGTAATTCTGAATTCCAAATTTGAATTTCATATCTGAATGTTAATGCTTCTGCACATCTCTATCATATACTACAATTTAATCTCTGTTCTGAAGGGACAACATAGGGAAGTTAAATTAATTGATAGTGTGTTGAAGAACTAAGCACCTGCAGACTTTATTTTTGGTGGCAGCTACTCATATACTGTAATTAGTTGAAACAATTACCCTGATCCTTATTTAAAGTGGCACATCTAAAAATACCCATCAGTTCAAGAATCTAGTTTGGAACACTAAACTGTCCTTCAGCAACATACATGTCACACTCCATTGCAACAGCAGATTTGTACTTCTGTTTTCAGTGAACCATGTTTTATCATTATTACTGAACCTCAAACTATGATTGGTCTTAACTATAATATAAGGCAGATGCAGGTAGCTTGGGCCCTCCAGCTATTTTGTAGCCTATAATGCCTATCAGTTTAGCCATCTTAGCTAGTGATGTGTGATAATTGGAGTTGCCATTGAGAAACATCTTGAGGGCCCAATCCTGGTTTAAGGAAACAAAACAGGATCATAAGCCACAAACTGGGGATTGTTTTCTTTGCTAAGCTATAGTTAAGACTAAGAACAGTTTGTTTAGGTTCAGACATAGTCAGGTACAGTGAGTTAAAAAACAGAAGCAAAAGGTTCTGATTTGCCTGTACCTGTAAGAGTAGAGTGAGCACATCAGTTTAGCCATCTTAGCTAGTGATGTGTGATAATTGGAGTTGCCATTGAGAAACATCTTGAGGGCCCAATCCTGGTTTAAGGAAACAAAACAGGATCATAAGCCACAAACTGGGGATTGTTTTCTTTGCTAAGCTATAGTTAAGACTAAGAACAGTTTGTTTAGGTTCAGACATAGTCAGGTACAGTGAGTTAAAAAACAGAAGCAAAAGGTTCTGATTTGCCCGTACGTGTAAGAGTAGAGTGAGCACTCAGATTTAAGGCTCATGCACCACATTTTACACATGACATCTGAAAAAGGACAATATTACCTACCGAGAAACCATGTGGAAAATGCACAATAGCCAAAATAAAGAACTATTAATTATATCTGAAGGCAAAGCCTTGCTCTTACACCTGACCAGTGGCTACAATATTATAGTTACGATCAATCATAGTTTGACGTTCAGTAGTTCATGCCATTCACCAGTCTGCAGATGACTAGCTGGATCCCTTACATCTGAGATGTAAGTCTCTCAAATTGGGAATTTTTCTAGAGTTCTTGATTTGGAGCTACATCTTTGTTTTCCTTAATGTATTCCTTGCTGATCATCTTATGGTGGATTAACTCCAAGAAAACATCACACTCCAAGTGCTTCCATTGTCCAGGGAAGGAAGAGAGACATATTTCTCATTTATTCAAATTCTTCTCTCTCAGTAACATTGCAACCAAGTACAAGTAGCCCCAAATAAGGGTAGTGCATTAAACCTCATCTTCTCCATCCATGTAAACACAACATTAATACTGAAGAAATAAAGAAAATAATAAAACATCCAGTGTCTGGTTGGGTGGATGTGTCTGTTGCTTGTTCACATTCCTCAGCTACACTTGTCATATATTCCGACCTGTTGCAGTGGCTGTCAATTAAATCCCGCTAGAGATACCTGAACAAACCCATGTCCAAACAAACATCACCAAGATCCCTGCAAACATTATCTTCTCCCCCACTTCCATGGGAAGTTTGTTATAACTTCCTTTTAATTTTCTTTTAATTTTGTCCCTTCTGTTACAACAAACTCCTTTACTGGAGTACTTTCTCAAGCATTTGTAGCACCTTGTGGCTACTGAGTCCTAACGGTCACATTTCAGACACCCTACTTGGTGCTGGTGTCTGCTTGCACACAAATGTGCAGGGTCTTTTTAAAAAATCAGGCAGGTGTGCAACAGAAGAGCCCATGGACTGCAATTCACCCCTTGCTAAAATTGACCAATCTGTGTCCGTCCGTCCGTCCGTCCGTCCGTCCGTCCTTCCTTCCTTCCTTCCTTCCTTCCTTCCTCCCTCCCTCCCTCTCTCTCTATCTTAAATAATTGGTAGAATTCAAATCTGGCCACTTGTTTCAGTGGAGATACATGGACAAACCCTTCTCAACTGGGAACAGAGCTTACGCTAGCAGTCCCTTCCCAAAACACTAAAAGCACAGATCTTCTTGGGTGAATGGCTGAGCTAGGAATGAACATGAAACGCAAAAGGGTGTAATTTAGATTAAAGAAAGAAAGGGGCATGGTCAAAGCCGGTGGCAGTGGTGGGGAGTTGGAGAAGAGTCCATCTTTGCAGCATTAGAGAAATGAGCATGTGAAATGCCACAGAAATGCTGACACAGTAATACAGTGACTGTTTCCATAGATAATTTTCCAGAAATCACATTTATTAGATACAGTTCCTCTTCCTCTGACTAGGGAAATCTGATTCATCCTGCTTTACAGTGTTCTTCTCTGGCAGACAACAGCCAGACAACATCTGTTTTACGATGCAAATTCCCTTTTGGGAGAAGTAGCCCCCACCCTGTTAATTCACAGGACTGTGACCTGAAGATCTTCCTTTACATATATATTTTTTTAAAAATGTGGAATTATTAAATAGCAACATGAAAGCCTATATTCCAAAGAAGATCTGTTTTTTGCTGTGCATTTGTAAGAACAAATATGCACTCCCCACAGTTCCAACCACCCTGTGTGCTGCCAATGGATGTGGGCACGGCTTCCCTTGACCCATGTATTCACACCTTGTGGGCAATAAAACCAAAGGCCTGAGGGTGGTGGGCGAGTGGCGGCTTCTGAGCGTAAGTCCAGAGACATCTTGTTCCAAATCTCTACTGTTAGAACTGCTTGATGTGGTTTTAAAAAACAAAAACAAAGGTGTCTCTCAGTTCCAGGCTAAAGGACTGGGGGTGCACACATGAAATGGCTCCTCCTTTCAAGTCTGTTTTCCAGTCCTTGTTGTGCTAGCTGTTGTTCTCGGCCGTGAGATATTTTAGTGCTGCAAAGCCATAGCGGCGCGACATATCCTGCTGGAACTCTTCCTTGAGGGTTTTGAGACAGATACGATATTGCTTGTTGGAGCGGAATTTGGTGATGTCAAAGCTGGGAGCATGCGGCATGTGGATCATGTAAGCATTCGGCAGTACTGTGAATTCATACTCCTGAGGAAGAGAGGCACATGTTAAACACGGGCAACATAGCAGTGGCTACTGAAATCACCTTATTCCCTCCCTCCCCACTTTCTTGTATGTCTCTGCATGCAAGCACTTGGACACTTTTGCAATAATTCTAGACTGGAATTGTTGCAGATAACAGTCTGGTGTCCCAATTGGGGTTTGCAAACTGAGAGTTAAATTACACTGCAGATAACTCATTGTTAGAAAAGCGGAACTTCAATGTGAATTGTATGTGATTCTCAGTGGGAAATCTTTCTCACCTTCTGTAGGCTGCAAATTAGCTCATTTTGTTGACTAGTCTTCAAGATAAAAAAATGTTTGCAAATCAGATTGCGCAGACATTAATATGTGTCTGAATCATGTATCTGACATGCTATTGTGAATCCAGTATAATAGCAGGCTTTCTGTAACATATACAGTGGAACCTCTACTTACGAACGTCCCTAGGTAAAGGTAAAGGTTCCCCTTGACAATTTTTGTCCAGTCGTGTTCGACTCTGGGGGGGCGGTGCTCATCCCCGTTTCCAAGCCACAGAGCCAGCGCTTTGTCCGAAGACAATCTTCCGTGGTCACATGGCTAGTGCGACTTAGACACGGAACGCTGTTACCTTCCCACCAAGGTGGTCCCTCTTGATCTACTTGCATTTGCATGCTTTCGAACCGCTAGGTTGGTGGGAGCTGGGACGAGCGACGGGCGCTTACTCCGTCGCATGAATTCGACCTTACGACTGCTGGTATTCTGACCCTGCAGCACAGGCTTCTGAGGGTTAGCCCGCAGCGCTACCACGTCCCTTACTACGAACGTCCATACCTACGAACAATCCAACTTATGAACAGCTCCGTTCACAAAATTTTGCTTCTACTTGCAAACGGAGCTTCAAGATAGGAATTAAAAAAAGGCAGGGGAAAAGGGTAGGAAATTTTAATTTACTAACCGTTGGTGGCGAAGAGGCGTTCACCTCAACGTTTAGGAAAAGGGAGGCTCAGCCTCCCAGGGGTCCCTCACTGTTGCAATTGCCACCTTCGGAGGCCTCCCGGGGGTCCCCCGCCGCCGTGATTGCCACAATTGGAGACCTTCCGGGGGTTCCCCGCCCTCGCAATTGCCACCTTCAGAGGCCTCACAGGGCTTCCCCACCCCAATGCAGGCTTTCCCAGGGTTGACTGGGCCTACCAGGGGAAGCCCTGGTCTACTAGGGCTTCCCCTAGCTGGCCTGGTCTACTAGGGCTTCCCCTAGTTGGCCTGGTCTACTAGGGCTTCCCCTAGTTTTGGCCGGGTCTCCCAGGGCTTCCCCTGGTAGGCCCGGCATACCCCGGGAAAACCTGCGTTGGGGTGGGGAAGCCCCGGGAGGCTTCCAAAGGTGGCGATCGTGACAGCGGGGGACCCCCAGGAGGTCTCCGATGGTGGTGATTGTGGCGACGGGGGACCCCCGGGAGGTTTCGAACAGGTAAGGTGCTCCTTTTTTAAAAAAAGTTATTCTGGGTGGGTTTTGGAGGATAGGTTTGGGCTGGGGGGGGTTATGTTCCTGTATTCTTGTTTTTCTGTCTGTATGTTTATGTTTTTTTGCAGTCCCAGCATGGGACTTTGCAGTCCCCGCATGGATTAATCTGTTTCTTCGGCCGGAACAGATTAATCGGTTTGCAGTGCATTCCTATGGGAAATGGAGCTTCTACTTACTAACGTTTCAACTAACGAACATCTTCTGGGACGGATTAAGTTCATAAGTAGAAGTTCCACTGTAATTTGGACCTCTGGGGGACATTCCATCTCCAGCAGGAATCCTTTCCTCCTTTGCTGGGTTTTGGTTATCAGCAGAGGTAAGAGTCATGTCTTTGCTGGATCCTTGCCCTTTCTGCCTCATGGAAAAACCAAGGGGAAGTGGAACAACCCTACAGCAAGTCTCCAGTATTCATTTCTGCAGGTACTGGAGTATGTGATGGCGTCGCAGTTCCTGGGAATCCTAGATCACATGGATTATCTGGATATGTTTTGATCTGGCATCAGGCCTGGTTATGCAGTGGAGATAGCTTTGGTTGCCTTCGTGTATGCTGTGTGCTGGGAACTAAGTAGGGAAGAGCAACTCTGTTGGTTCTACTGGACCTTTCAGCATCACTGGAAACTACTGATAGCAGTATGTTTCTGGGTTGCCTGTCTGAGGTGGGACTTGGAGCATTCTTTTGCTATGAGTCTTGCCCTCCCTGGAGGGCTGTGCTAGGAAACCCCTGTTCAATGGCACTGGCCTGTGGCATTCCTCAGAGTTCTGATCTGCTACCTGTGGTACTTAACATATATATGGAAGTTGAGATTGTTTGGGGTTTTGGGCCTTAGTGCCACCAGTAGGTTGATGGCACCCAGCTCTACCACTCCTTTACAAGGAAGCTGTTTTGATTCTTAAAAAAAAGAGTCTGGTACCAATATTGGACTGGATGGTGGCACATAAACTGAAGCTTAAACTAGACAAAACAGAGGAGCTCCTGGTCAACCAACAGGCAGATCAGGGATATGAACTGATCCTGAATGGGGTTACACATCCCTGAAAGCTAAGGTTCTCAATTTGTGCAATTTTACTTCCTCAATTCAACCCTAAGCCTAGGTGCTCCGATTTCAGTGGTCACTGGGAGTACATTTGCACTAATCAAAACTAGTGTGCCAGCTCTGCCCATTGTTGTCGACATCTGACTTGGCTACAGTGGTACATGCCATAGTTACATCCTGCTGTGATTACTGTAATGTGCTCTAATGCAGCTGCCTCTGAGGACTGGTTCAAAGTGCTGCAGCTGCAGCCAGACTGTTGACCAGGGTTGTTTAAAGGAAATCATTTAATTTTCCTGCTACAACAGTTTCACGAGCAACTAGATTGTATCCGGCCTCAGTTCAAAGTGCTGGTTGTGACCTATAAAGCCTCATATGACTTAGGTCCAAGCTGCCTGAAGGACTGTTTCTTCCCATATGAACCCATCCTGGTTCTAAAATCTTCCTCTTGGTCCCATGGTCCCCACAGGCGTGTCTGATGAGAAAACAAAAGAGGTTTTTATGGGTGGCTGTTTCCAGACTGTAGAGATCCCTTCCATGAGAGGCTAAGTTGGCTAGGCTTCTGCATTACTTCTCTCCACGGGCAGAGATATTTTTTTTTACAGGCAGGCCTTTGGTAACTGAATGAGCTGCAGGAAAAAGTGAGCTAGGAATTATGCACTTTTCTCTCTGATCTGTTTCTATAATTGGCTTATTGCAGTGGTATCTATCTGCATTGCATCTAATATTGCACTTCAATGTTGTAACTGACTATGTTAGTTACATTGGTTTTTGAAAATAATTTCGTAAGCCCTTGCTTATGAAGTAGGAATATAGCTAAAGGAGATCCTAGGAACAGGATTTCTGTGATTGAATACTCTCTCTGCTCTAACTAGACAGTATTCTCATTTAATAAAAACGTTAGGTGCAAATGCTGACTGTAATGGTTTGCATTAACCAAGTACTGTACACAGAACCATAATCAGGGCAGACGAAAGGAAGGGAAGATTTGATCTGAGAGCCTAAAGAAAGGAGGGACAGAAGGTGCATTCGAAAGATTAATTCTTGATTTGCAATTCATACTTTGTACAGAATCAGTATCATCCCTGCACTGCACCTGTATATATTATACAGCAACTGGAAGCATAATTTGTGAGAATTCCAAACCCAGGATCCTCAAACCAAACTGAGTTCTCTCCCATTTTTTTTTCCAGTTTTGATGTTGCACTTGGTGGCAACACATATCAGAGATACATCCAAATACATGGGGCATTAAATCTGGGGGATTTTGCCATCACTAAAGAATGACAGTTGAAATGCTGTTCATCTCACCCTGGGCTGCTATTTCAAAGAATTATGGCTTTGTAACCCGGGGCCACCTGAGCCTGTCTTAAGTAGCTCTTCTCTGAGCAAGCTGTAGCTCCATGTTAATCACTCTGAATTTATTACAGGGCCTCAGTGAAAGGACAGGCATCTGAAAGCACTTGGAAGCTGCATTTACATCAAGTATACCAGGCTCTTAGTAAAGAGGGCACAGACAGACAAATGCAGAAGACTAGCAAAACATTACAAAATTCGGGAATAGTAATTGTTATTTATTATACAGTTGCAGGGGGTGAAGGGCCCATGTAATCCATGTTTCATCAATTTCCATTTGTTCTATTCCTGTGACCCTAGAATTATTGTTGATCACCAAAATTTATTTTTTGCAGTGCCGAAGCCCCCATTTAAAATGTGCCTCTGCTTGCTCTTTCTGTATCACACACAATCAGAGGTTTATATAGAGAGTATGCTTCTGTGGCATTTGGTGTGGACACTCGGAATGACAAAAGCGATTCTGTATGCATCTATCTAACTCATGTCCAATTTTCTTTAATGATAACTTTATGATATACGAGTATCTTACCTTACAGCAGTGGAATCAACCAGATCAGCCAGGTGATATTAGAGATGGTGCCCTAGAAACCCTTGTCAATTCTCTCTCATCATAAGGCTCTTCCCTGCCCATTGCAAGGTAAAGCATGCTTATTTTGTGCAGATGCTAGAACTGCTGAACCTTTGCTTCCCTAAAATTAACTGGAAATAGAGGTGGGATCATAGAAAATTGGGTACACTGCCATATTATCTGGCTGTGTTTACCTCTGTGGCCAAGAGTTTTTATAATTTTTAGTCAGGTGGTGGTCAGCAAAGATCCACTGCAACTGTAATTAGAAGCTTCCTCCTTGAAACCTCTGCTTATAGCTTCTCGATCACTTCACCTTTAATTAAGCTGTCACTATTCTCTTTCTGAATAAACATGAGGTACCAGTTTTCTTTCGTTTTTCTTTTCTAGTTGCAAAACAGCAATACTGCATTAAAGAACTAAACTCTCACACTGAGACCAGACTTGTGATCCCCTCCCTAGAGCAGCAAGAGGAAGTAATTAAAAAGCAATGAGTTGGGAGGGGGGTTCATTACAGATACAGCACTGCATGGAACAGGAAGCGAGTATGGACAAGAGGTGCTTGTAGTGAAAAGGCACTCTGTAAAAGCTCTAGAAATGCCATAGCAGGACATACTGTAAAGCATATGGTAACATGACAAAAAAAAAGCAGTGCAGCAGGTTGGTTCCAGTGTGTTCTACAAAAAGTGAGTGGGTGAAGAATGGGAATGCCAGGTCATGTGGTTATCCTGCAAGTAACTGATCTTGCTAGTAAATCACTCCCGTATGGAAATTTTCAATTCATCTGCTATTTTAGATTTCCACGTCTTTTTTTTTAAAATCCACAATTCAGTTTGGAACACATGTTTTTCATGAATAAGGTCCCAAGTTCTGTCACTGCTATCTCCTACCTGAAACCTAGAACATTAGCACCTGTCCATAAAGAATGGAGAATATATGGTTGTCTAGATGTTGCTGGACTGCAATACCACTCAACCCTAGCAAAGAACAGCCAAAGGTGAGTAACTGTCCAACAATATCTAAAAGACTACCCAGTCCCCTGGGCAGAAAATACTGAACTCAGTGGACCAGTCCTCTGACTTGGTATAAAGCAGATCCTCATTTCCTAGTGCCTCTCTTAATCTCCTTGGAATATGGACTGAAGTTGGGCTGTGACCTCACAAAAAGCCTACAGAGGTGCAGTGATTAAGTTTGTGGCACGCTCTCAGTCCCCCAGCTATCCCGCAAAACATCAACAAAACATATCAACAGGAAGGTGAATGTTGACAGCTTGGGTCATGTAAAATCTTGAGTGTTTGATAGTAGACTGGTTGGCAAATTACAGGACTTTATGGATTTAAAGATTGTGGGAAGAGATGACATATTTACAGGCTTGATCAAAAATGTCCTTCTCAGAGAATAACAGTCACTCAGGCTGGCAGAGGTTTGAAATGGTTGTAAAATAGTAAATGGGAGGTAAATAAAATACATCATAAAACCAGCCTGGAGTTTAAGGAGTTCAGAGTGACTGCATGGCCAATGGCAGTGTGAGCAAAGAAAGACATTTGTCCACATATACTGGTTGCTGGAGAAGTGGGCCACCTCTCCTGATCACACCCATTTCTTTGAGTTTTAAATATTGGTTGTAGGAGCCTTAAAAGACACTGATAAAACAAGCTCGGCTCATGAGATTCAAGAGCCATAAGGAGATGGGGGCTCTTGAAAGCATTCCTTAGAATGGACATCCTAGACTATTGGAATGAAGACCCTCAGCCAAAATTTAAAAAGAACATTATAAAAATCTCATGAAGTGGCAACAATAAAAATGCAAAATTTGAAAAATTTCAGTCAAACATATACATATCCATATGAGAGCACATAAGTGCCGAAAAAGACCTCTGTAGTCACTTCCCTTTATAATGACATTGTGCACTTTTCCTTAAATTGCACCCTATCTATCAGTGAGGTTTGATGGGGGGGAAAGTAGACCCTAGGGGGATAAGAAGGGTTTGCAATGCCATGCCACCTGTTAGCTGCTCCTTTTCTGTCTGTCTATATGACTTTCTTGATGACCTAACTTTTCTATGACACATTGTTGAGCAGTGTGAACTGGTTTTCCACTTGACTGGACTTGTGAACTTCAAGAAAAAAGAACTGCTATAAAATCCTGTTGCCCTTTCATAATGTCTCCCAGCTTCTTCTGATTAATGTTTTGCTCAGAGAGGAGCTCCCTTTTAACTAATTTTGTCATAGAAAGACCTCCCTCCCCTCCCCATTGTTTCAGCCTTCTTTTAGGAGATATGGAAGATGAGGCAAAAGCATTTCCTTTCTTTTAAATGGGTAAATGCTCTTTTAAAGGGAGGTGGTGTGGAGTATGTGATCCAGATCCAACTCTCTTGGCAAACTGTTTTGCTCAGAGAGGTGACGCTGCTGTCTGTCTCCTCATGCTTGTTATGTCTAGGAGGAAGGAATGATTACACTGTACAGTATTTGACACTTTTTTGTGTGGCATGTATTTATGTTTGATGGAAGATTACTCCCCTCTTCTGTAATAAGAAATCTCTTCCCAAAATCAACCCCCCCACAACAATTTAGGAGAGCATAATTTTTAAATAGTGAAGAGCCATGTTGTATAATTAGCAGTTGTGTTTTCGTCCCTCCCCCCTCTTTTTCATATGGGGTCGAAAGCTCCATGTAAGCTTCCCACATATGCTAAATCAGATCATGAAGAAGAGTTATAACTAGCAGTCTGAGTATTGAGCAATCTGTAACCATTCAATTTGTAATTTAGAAAGGAACTGAGGTAGGAAGACTTTTGGCTATATCTGAACACAACATCTATGAGCGTAACTGTAACGGGCAGACATAACATCACATGTCCATCACAGCTGGGCAGTGAGTCATCAGCCTATGATGTGACGAAGGGTGGAACTTAAGGGGAGGAGCTAGTATAAAAAGGGGGGTGAAGAGTGTGTGAGGAGAGATTGGAGATTAGAGTCTAAGCTGAGAGTTGAAAGTGATTGTTAATTATAGTGAGTGAGGTAGCCTGTCAGTGAGAAATAGTCTGTGTGAGCCAGTGATTTAAGAACAGTGATTGACTAATTGATTCTTTACCAGTGATTTACTATTTTTATTTACTGTAATCAATAAACCAGTTTTTGTTTTTCAAAGTTACACTTGTCCTTCGCTTGATTTTCAAGGATAAGTAGGTGGAAGCAAATTTTATAGTAAAGTAGCAACTACTCTGTGAAGTGTGAGGGTGGCTGTTACAGTAACTACATTAGGTCTAGCATCCCACAGAAACAAGCATTAAGGAGAGATGGCTAATATATTGCCAGTCAGTAGAAATGATTAATTATATTTTAGTTTTGACAGCTTAGGTGATACACACAACTCTTCCTTTTATTTCCAAGGAATCCACAGCTGGTTTGTTTTCTCCTGGATCCTTCTACTGACCCATGGCGATCCAACATGAAGGGGCAAGCCTCTTTAAAATTCACTACATCTGCACAGGATACAGATTTTCAGAATATCACCGGTTAGAGAAATAGCACAACTAAAACTTCTTTTCTTCCTCACCTGTGCATCCAGTTCCATGATGTGGGCAACTTTATTCCAGCCAAATCCAACAAATCTTCGGTCATACTCTGGGCAGTCCCGCCTTACCACGACATATGGCTCAAAGTCTGCTTCCCACTCAACTCGATATGGCGTGGTAGCTGTTCGCCATTTAGCGAAGTTTGTTGGCGCATGCCCTTTTGTCCAGACATGATACCTTGAATAGACGAGAAAACCCATTGGCTGAAAAACCATTGACCTAGAGCAAATCTTGCAAGCCACCTGACAAACTGATCAGTGATCACTACTGGAATACCAGAAAACATAGCTTATATGGAATTTTGGAGACCATATAGGACGGAGTCTGTGTTTTTCTATAATTATAGTTGGTAGTCTTAATTTTACAGCCAGTTTAGTTTAATTGCAAAAGGACATCTAGATATATAAAATTGCATCACTGGACTGTGATATTTCATTCTGGTTTAGAAAAAGTGCCAGTGCTGGAAAGCACATATGAGATGTTGGCATGCAGATAAATCTCCTGGAAATAAGCTTAGACTGAATTTCCAGTGGTGATAATAGCTTATTATTTTAAATTCTGCAGCTTGTTTTCAAAGCATGCAGAATTCCAAAGAGGTGCTCCTTTGTTTTTGCTGCTGCAAGTCAGATCAATAAATGCATTAAATAAAAGCCTAGACAGATACTTTCAGTGCCATCACAGCTATCATTTTGTTGCCATGTGGCATCTACACAATTCCATCTGAGACAATCAATTAAATTTCTAGGAAAGCATCCTTTTATATTTTGTTAATCTCATTCATGTCACAGCAAGGCCTATCCAAGCATAAGTTGAGCTCACCCTATTAAAACAACAATCAATATTTTTCTCTTGCATTTATGGTCTTTACGCCTTTCCAGAAATCACTGACGTGGGCTCTCGCCACACATCTCATTGATTCAAAGAAATAGTTAAATCACAGGTAACATGTATTGCAGTGTTTTCAAATGTCCACTAGGAATAAACACAGGAATTAAGTAGATGTGTTGCAGCATTTGGACTTAGAAGTCCTGAGACAGAACCTTAATTCATCTATGGACATGCTGGAAATGTTCGACTCAAAATGGGGAACTTACTTACTTACTTACTACTTTCATTTATATGCCATTCTTCTCTCCAAAGAGACCCAGCCCAGTACACAGCACAAGAATAATTCACATAATAAACACAAGAATAAAATTCTCCTTATAAACGATAAAATGCAATAGAACCTAGCAACAACATAAACAGTTTTATCTTCTATATGTTAACATATGAATGTCACATAAGGGGTGGAAATAGTAGTTCCTATCTGCTGGCTGATATCTACCATGTGCCACAAATGTTGTGAGGGAAAACATACAAAATACTTGCATTAGTACTTAGAAACACAGAAGGAAATTACTTTCCATGGAATACATGAAGTGTCATACTTTTCTCTATTGTGATTCCTCATCTGTACAAAGCTTCCAGTGAGAGTGTGATTCGGTTGCAGAACCTCTGTGATACAGCAAACTCTAGTTTAAAATAAAATATTGCTTTCTGTGGTTCTTTTAACAATTGGTCATCATTCTGTGCTCTCTCTCTCTCTGTGTGTATGTGTACGTATGAACGTACTGTATGTACGCACGTACATGTGCATCAATTGGTCATCATTCTGTGCTCTCTCTCTGTCTCTGTGTGTATGTGTATGTACGAACGTATGTATGCACGTACATGTGCAGTCTTGCATCTTAAAGAGAAAGCACATGTGTTTTCTGCAAATAGTTTACAGAGTTACAGAGTCCTTGATGAGAAAAAAAAAATTGGTCATCATTCTGTGCTCTCTCTCTGTCTCTGTGTGTATGTGTATGTACGAACGTATGTATGCACGTACATGTGCAGTCTTGCATCTTAAAGAGAAAGCACATGTGTTTTCTGCAAATAGTTTACAGAGTTACAGAGTCCTTGATGAGAAAAAAAACTTGCTCCCTGTGTTTTCTGCAAATAGTTTACAGAGTTAGAGTCCTTGATGAGAAAAAAACGTATTGTCTTGCTCCCAGCTTGTTGTGAACAAATCTTACAGACCTGACATTGTACTTTGTAAATGTTGGGATAAATAGGAAATTTGGATCTGGGGGTGGTAACATGAGAGACTGTCAAATGGCTGTTTCTATAATTGTATATGATATCATGTTAGCTTGTGAACTTGAGACTGGTTGTTTGTATGCCTTAGAAATCTGATTTCAATGTTTTGATGGGGATCTTAATACCAAATGATAGGTATCAGATAAGTAACAAGATTGTGACCTAGTTGATTTCTTTTTATCTCTCTGTCATTTCTGAGGTGAAGGAGACTTCAGTTTTGACTGTTCTTTTGTTTGGTAGTTTTTGTGAGATGGGCTTCTCTCATCTTGAAGGGATCTTTCCTTCATATGTGGTTTACTTTCCCTATATGACATTGAAGAAGGCCAGCCCATGTATTTGAACATGTTAGGTGGTGGTCAGAAAATGGAGTGAAATACAGATCTGTACGATATTGGGAGTCCACTGAAGCGGATCTAGATGGACTTTCACCTCTGTACTGCAATGATCAGCTGTGTGATGTTCATCTCAATCGTGTCCTCAATCTTTAATCTGTTCTCCTTGGTGTATCATGGAGGAAGTGTTAGATCTCTCATGCAGGAGAAGCTCCTGGTGTTGGGAGCTTCAGTGATGACAGTAACTATTGAGAACAAGACAATGGGGAAGAAATACTTTGTACAGATGGGCTGTGCAGCTCTCCATCTGAATTGGAACCAACATTTTGATCTTCTTTTCAGTTTATTGTAGATTTTATTGTCTGTAATACCATTGCTGACTGGGCTTAGGTGATAAAGGTTTGTCCTTCTTTCTAGCCTTTTTTAGTTTTTCTGTGTCGATGCCTGTTTAACGCTTTGATTTTTTTACTGTGAGAGTCTATGTTTGTTGTTGACTTTGAGGTCATGTTTGAAGTTGATGGAATGACATCATCTTTTGATATTGTCTATTCTTGAGTTGGCAATTTTTTAGGTGGAAGTTCCATTATATACATATTGCTTTTCAGTGACTTGTTTTGGTGTTGACTGCCTGGCCATGTTGTTATTTAAAGAATCTGTTCCTTTTAAGGATTTTTCCCAAAGAAACAATCTTAAATGGGATTGTCAGTTTTTCAAAGTCAGTTTAGTAAATCCTCTGCAGATAACACAATTTTTAACTAAATAAACTTCTCCTAAGCACAATAAACCTTGGTCCTGTCCATCTCATTTTGCTCCACAGCCAGAACAGTATTTCATTAAAACAGGCTGCTTTGTTGATGACGTTCAGAGTAGCAAAGATGGTTATATTTACATTGGGTTTCAGAGCCTAAATGCCTCAGTGGCTCCTTTAGAAGAGCAAAGCTGGCTAGGCCAATTTCTTCTGCAGACGGGGAGGTAGTCAGAAGCTTTTTAATGTAACACTCTTGATACAAAATCCAGAATAAAGTCATATATTTCTGTACTCAAAATATCTAGGCAATCACTAGATTTGCTGTGGGGTGGGGGTGGGTGGGACAAAAAAAGAACCTGAAATGAGGAACTACTTTATATTTCTCAGCTGCCTAAAGGCAGGAAAGGTCACAATTTTGGGAAATAGGTGACAAAAGCAATTTCACTGAGAGAAAGATTGCAATCTAGTACTCAGTAAGAGGGTTCAGGATGCTAAAGGCATGATCAGCAATCACTGTCACAGAAGCCTTCCCCCATCAACTGGTTCTCAATGGTTACTAAAAACTTATTAAACCACCCCCCAGGAAAAACAGAAACTGTTGGCTGGCAGTGGAGGGAAGGGCTACCGAGTGCTTGGTAGAATAAGATGGGCCACGTAAACTGTGCAAAGACTTACCTGTGTAAATATAATGATCACCCAGAAAAAGGGAAAAGCTTACTAGATAAAATAAATTCCCTAGACAATGAAAATTTTGATTCATGGTGGATCATATAAGTGAGGCTGATACTCAGAAGTTTTATTTCCTAATAGATTCCCTAGTCAATGAAAATTTTGATTCATGCCACCATGAATCAAAATTTTCATTGACTAGGGAATTTATTTTATATAAGTGAGGCTGATACTCAGAGATTTTATTTCCTAATAGATTTTTTTTTAAGCTAGGAAGGAAGCTGTTACTTTTCTAATTAAAAACTCTTTATAATTATTACATAATTGAGAAAAACAGAAATTGTATTTTTGGCTCATGCTGTTTCCTTTTGTAGAAACATGTCATTTTCCACCTCAGCACCATTCAATCTGTCCTCATTATTTGCTTGAAAATAAAGCAGATGGGAAGAGTGCGCCAAGCCCCGAACCCACAGTCATTTCAGCAAGGCTTGAAAAACCCATACAGTTCAAGATGAACATTGCACACAATGTCAGATTGTGTGCAGTTTTCTAATAAAATAAATTCCTGGGGTTATCTCTTGTTGGAAACTAAGTGCTAACAATAACCACAACAGTGATCAATAATCACAACAGTGAGGGACAATATATAGAAAGAGAACCAGGTAGTCCTTCAGATACAGTATTATCCTTCCTGTCTAAATGCAGCAGACTGCACATTTATGACTTAATTGGTTCCCCAACAATGGTCATAAAGTGAGGCAATGCACACTGAATCCTGCTTTCCCATTGGGGTCAACATTAAAACGGGTTTGACTCTGGAACAATTCTCAAGGCTCAGTTCTACCCTTTTTTCCTGTCTGTTCTCCCCCACTGTCTTCCATCATCTTCCTTGCTCTTAGTGACCCCCACCTTCTGCTAGCAAAGCAAAGCATGCTGCTTATATGTCGCCCCACAGTTCTTAAAGCACCCTCTGGGCAGTTCACACTTGAATTATGCAGGCTACACATTGCCCTCTGCCCAGCATGTCCTACCCGTTCTATCCTCACACAATGATACTCCAGGTTCAAAATGTCTTGATTATATGAGTGAAATAATGCAACAAAGTACATGACATATTGTTTGGACATATATTTTTGTTATTTTGCTTGTGTAGATGAGAATATGTGCTGTTGTTTCAACTTATATACTGTCCCACAGTACTACAGCACTCTGTGCAGTTCACTGCACAATCACACAAACAATTACTTGCTCCCAGTGAGCTGGGTATTCATTTTACCAACCTTGGATGGATAGACGGCTGAGTCAATCTTGAGCTGGCTACCTTTTCGGCAGATTGTGAGTAGAGGCTTGACTGTAATACTGCAGTTTAACTGCTGCACTATGGGCCTCTTAAAGTCGCAACAGTGGCATGCCTTTATCCACATTGCTGCCTTTTGCAAACATTCATAGTTGACATTACAGTATGTTGAATCTGACCAACTAATCTGAAGAAAGAAATGTTTGTACAGGCAATATAGATGCAAAATATAGTGTACTGAAGATGGAGTAAGATAAAAATCAGAATAAATGCCACATTGCTGCCTTTTGCAAACATTCATACAGTAGTTGACATTACAGTATGTTGAATCTGACCAACTAATCTGAAGAAAGAAATGTTTGTACAGGCAATATAGATGCAAAATATAGTGTACTGAAGATGGAGTAAGATAAAAATCAGAATAAATGACTGAAGATTGCTAAAATGTCTGAACTTATTCAAAAGACTAGGAAAAAAATCTTCTCTAGACTGGAAAGGAGAATTAACACTACTGAAGAAATGATTTCACTAACCAGCATAATTCAGTTGTAAGGCACCTGGTTTGTACAGAGAATGGTTTGAGTTCATTCCTTAAGAACTCCCATTTGAAAAGGAGAACAAAAGACGAGACAGGACAAGCTTTTGAACAAGATCCAGAATAAACAATACTATTCTAAACTGACCAATATTCTGACATTGTATAAGGCACTTTCTGCCTTTCAAATAACAGAGAAAAAGAAAATGTAAGAAATTGGTGTTTGGCATCGGCAGGAGAAACTCAGGTATTTAGCAGTATTTCTTTGCTGCTGCTTTCTCTGCTGGCCAAAAGTGGGAAGGTGCTGATCAAAATGAACTCAGGCTGGAGATTCATGATCCCACTTGTAGAATTGGCTCTAGGCTGCTGAAGGCTTCTAAGCTTTTATAATGCATGCCTTCATCTCCCTTGAAAGAAGCTGTAAAAGCCTGTCTGTCTGCGTTCACCCTGCAACAGTTAGTTCAATCATATTTTTTTCCCTGTTAATGCTGTAGGGTACTACAATATGGGTTGACCTCCCCTCTCCATTCCTAAGAGGTCATGAATGTTGTAGGTCTTGAATGCTTGCTTAGACAAGTGGCATAAAGAAGCAATAACAAAGATTTTCATGGCACCTTAAAGTCTAAGACTGAAATCCAATTGCCAGTCAACACTACCAGTTGAATTAAGGTCTAATAAATTTACTATATCATGAGCTTTCAGAGGCAGTCCCAAAACCAGCAAAATCAGGGAGCTGGACAGGGGACAGATTGTCTTCAGTGTGGAAGGGATTGTCACTCTCCACTTGGCCTTCTCAGCTACACGAGACGCTGTTCCAAGACCTCTATTCAGAGCACATTACCATAGTCTCTCGAGACTGAAGGATGCCTACTGAGCTTTCAGGGATCATAGAATACTTCATTCAATGTTAAATGCCATCCAGAATATATCCAGGCATACAATTAATACCAAGTGTAGTGTAGCGGACAGAGTGATGGACTAAGACTCAGGAGGCCCGGGTTTGAATCTCATGGAAGCTCACTGGGGGTGTGAAAATGGTAAAACAATCCTAAAATTACTCTGAAACATGGCAAAAGTGTGAGAACAATATTGACTTATGAAATGCCGTCCTCACTCCCAGCTGGTTCCATGATGCCATCCTATAGCTAAATCGGATCTGATGTCTCATGATAGCATGAGTTCTGCGTGGTTGAAGTCACTGTTGGAGAAGTGATCTACTGAAAAAGATGCCAAAGCTGCAACTGCAGACGAACAAGGTATGGATAAAGTGAGAAGATGCAGTGCAAACAAACATCTTCTCCAAGGTATAACTTTTACCCCTAACAATGAAACAGATAATTGCTGCCATGGCCCTCATTTAAAGCAGATGGGTGGCAGATGCTAAAGCTCCTTAATCAGCACAATTATTTTCCATGCAATCATTAACACTGGGAGATGATACCATTTTTATATTATTCAGGTAATAAGTTGGAGATGGGTTTCCAGTGTGTTGTGGTGGATAGAGTGGTGGAGTAGCACTCTGGAGAACAGGGTTTGAATCCCCACTCTGCCATAGAAACTGACTGGGGGAATGGAACTGGTAAAAACACTCCTTAAATATCTTACTTACTTCAAAACTCCTGTTGGGTCACTCTAAGTTGGATCTGACTTGATAGCACGTAACAAGAAGCTTAAGATAAATGCAAGGGTACTTTCAGGGCTTATTCTACAACTATTTAAAACTCCCTTGCTCTGGTAAACCAACCCAGCTTGGCAGGAAAAAGACAATTTTATAACTTCATCACTTTGTCTATAAATAGGGTGACTATTCAGAACTAGTTATCTCAATGAAATAGCATAAGACATTTTCCCGAGCTGACTTTTGATGGTTGAAGTTAAGCAATGGAAAGTGAGAACGTATTTTCACAAACCTTCAACATTTAAACATTGTTTCTGTGTGCCTAAATCCACAACCATGTCTGCTTCTTCTCCATTCTGACATTCTAGGAACAGATGGGTGTAAAAGTGCTGAGAGAAAGCAGTAATGATGTATGCAGTACCTGAATGTGAAGAGGGTCCCCATATCCAACATAGACAACAGCTCTGCTTTTGACTTCGGAAAAGAAAGGCGATAGCGGAGGGTCTCAAAAGCAGGCACAATGAGAGCCTTTTTTGTATTGGCTAAGTCCAGCTGGACAACGGATTTCCTGGAAGAGAAAAATGAAGGAGTGCAGTCAGCAGGATTGCAAATTAGCTTTAAAATAAAAAGACTGGTAAAAATTTAGATGGTAGGGAATGGCAGGAGGCCCACGAAAACCAGGATGGGTGGATTGGTCAAATTCACTCTCTCCCACACTCACATTTAAAAAAATCTCATCTATCTGAATTGGAAGAAGACTACAAATGATGTTGAACTCTTTGACAAAAACAAGCTGAAGCTAAAATCCTAATTATGTCGCAGAAAGATCCTTTTCTAAATAGTCACTCACTATCTCTATTACAAATTCTTTTTTGTACAATGAATTATTTTGGTTGCTCGTTTTGAATTAAGAAGCAAGAAGCCCAAGTGACAGACAGTTCCTGCTCCTTACGGTTCACTTTTACGGCGAAACAGGAATTCTTATGCTTCCACTCCTCACGGGGAAGATACAAAACTGGGGTTCTAATATACTGCTCTTCCCAAAGAAACAGCCCTGTTAGTCTGTCTCAGCATGTTGGCAAAAGTAAAGTGCGTGGGGCGGGGAGAAAAGAAAGACAAACTATTGTAGCTTTTTAAACACTAACAATTTTAAGACTAATAGAAATAAAATGCACATCCTTTATATTTATAATGTAAAATGTGCCCCAATTACATGGTGAAAGCTTTGCCAGCCCCTACATACACAGGAAGCTGAACCCTGGAGACCTGGTGGAACACAAGGCCATGATGGCCTGCTAGTCCTGGATCAAGAACCATTGCTTTGATCAGTCTGTGAAGGCCCTGTTTCCTATCAAATTATGTTGCTGGTGGTGACAATACCAATGCTAAAGGTGTTGATACCTCAAACAAGTTCCCAGGAGGGGAACTCGGACGGAGCAAAAGAGCCCATGAGTGGACAGCACTGACAGTCTTTCTTGTCTAATTTTCCAGGGATGATAAGGGACACAGAATATATGACACCAACCGCTGGAACTTAGACTTGCTGAAGCTAGACTTGGGCAGAGACTAGTTTCCTGGTGCGTGAAAGACATCACACAGGGGCTGGTTCCACTGGGCTTGAGGGAACAACTCAGGGCAATAATAATAATCTTAGAACTGCAGAGCTAGAAAGGACCCAATAGATCATCAAGGACAGCCCCTGTCAAGGAGGCACAGTGGGGAATCACGCTCTAAACCTCTGGCTCCACAGCTGGATACCTAAACCACTGAGCTATCCAGCAGTTCAGCTCCACAATTATCTGTACCTTACTTGTTCAGTTAATAAATCTCTGGGTTTTAAGCTACACACCACTGTAGCACGAACATACCTTCATGCCGACCCCTACAGGGCCTCTCAGTGTATACCTGCCCATGGGTGGCATGAAAATATTTTGGCTTTCTTTTCTTTTTCTCTTTTACTTTTGACAATATACTGCTGTTATATAGTAATTAAGTGTTGTTCCAAAGCAAACATTAGGAAAACTAAGATATTAATTTTGCCGTTTTTTCTTTTAAGTACAAGTCTGTTCAGGAGGTTTGACATAAAGGAACATCTCCCATAAACATGCTCATCCTATATCAATTCCTGGTTTATTTCTTTAAGAAAGAATGAATAGCATTCTTTCCAAGTCAGAAAGAATTCCTGGCCAAATGTTATTTAGTACATTTATAAAATCTGACTGAGCTGACACTTAATGCCTGGCTTTATACATTGTGAGATGGTTCCCTGCTGCTATACAGACTTTGAACTGAGCTCAGCTCTCTCCAGATCCCTTTAAGCTTCTGGCTCTGATTCTTTGCAAGTCCTACTGCTTATCCTTCAAAGAGTATAGGACTATTGGGTGGAACAGCTGGATGTGAAATTGTCACACTTGGAAAAGGGATATTCCAGAGTTTGGAAGCAAACAGGGGTTGCCTTATCTCCATTTTGCTCTGTTCTTGAGCTTTTCTGGTTCTTTCAAAAGGTATGGGAGCAAAGTGCTTGACTGCTCTGATATTTTGTTCCACCCAACATGACAATTTCCATACCTTTAGTTGTAGAAACACAGGAAGCTGTTCCATAACAAGTCAAACAGCTGGACAGTGTGCTTATTCAGGGCTTCAGAGAGGAACCTTTCCTAGCTTCACCTGGAGATGCCAGGAATTGAACCTCATATCTTCTGAATGTGAGCTATGTTTTTTTTTAATCTTTGAGCAATACTTCCTTCCTAGCAAGTCACCTAATTGGTGTCTGCTGATCTTTGCATAAGCAGATACAAGTTGCATGTCACACTGCAGATGAGATACTGCCCAAACTGATGCATTTCATGGACAAAATCTGATTGTGTGGGGCATAAGGTGGATTGAGGTGCTGGAAATAATATCTTCCTATATAGGGACGTGGTGGTGCTTCGGGCTAAACCGCAGAAGCCTCTGTGTTGCAAGGTCGGAAGACCAGCAGTTTGAAAGCATGTAGAAAGCATGTAAAAATGTAAGTAGATAAATAGGTAACACTACAGTGGGAAGGCAACAGCATTCCATGTCTAATTTGTGCTGGCCACGTGACCACAGAAACTGTCTAAGGACAAATGCTGGCTCTATGGCTTGGAAACTGGGATGAGCACTGCCCCCTAGAGTTGGACATGACTGAACTAAATGTCAAGGGGAACCTTTACCTTTGCCTATACCCGCCTTCCAAGGTTCCAAGGCTCTTTAGGGCTCCCTTTTGCCTCAGAGAAGCCTTTGGGGGTTTCAAAAATAGGTTTCAGGGGATGGGGATACTTTAATATTCAAAGATTGGTGCAGGACCATTGCCACTGGGATTGTTACCATCATTGGTGATTTTTGAATATTAAAAGCTTGCTCCACCCCCATTCTGAAGCTTCTTAGGACTTGCCCAACGAGGTTTGGAAGCTGAAACAGGAGGATGCAGAGCTTTAAATTAATTTAAATGAATTATTTCCAGTACTCTTATCTGGTTTACACCAGCAGAACTAGCCCAACAAGATTTTGCCCATTATTGGATGGGTTAGTTTCAGATGGGAAACTGAATGATGCATACAAATAAAACTCCCTCTGTATACAAAAGGAACATATTTATAGGATCACATATCTTAATTGCCCCCTTGAAATGCTATTTGTTTGTTTATTTGTTTGTTTTACATAGAGACATATTGATATATGGAGCTTCCTTATACCAGGCTAAATCACTGCTCCGTTTTGGCTTGGACTAGTGATGCAAATCTTGTCCTCACAGATGTGGACAAAGAATGGAAACATTATTGGTAGCTAGGAATTTTCAGGTGATCCAAATTCAGTCTCACATTCATACAGAGGAGGGGCAAGATCTGTTCTCAATCATAGAGTGCAGGACATGTAACAAGGGGCTCAAGCTACAGGAAGCCAGATTTAAGCTGAATATCAGGAAAAACTTAGTAACTGTTAGAGTAGTACAATAATGGAACCAATTACCTCAAGAGGTGATAAAATTAGACAACCATCTGTCAGATCTGCTTTATTTGGATTCCTGCATTGAGCAGGGGGTTGGACTCGATGGCCTTATAGACAGCTTCCATCCCAATTATTCTATGATTCAATGAGAACAATTTCCTATGTCCTTTCTCATGAGAAGCAAAATGGTATCCCCACAGGACACACAGGGTACTTGTCATGGTCTGTTAGGAGCACCAGGGTAACTGACAGACTCTCTCTTGCTCTGTCTGATGAATGGAGTAACAATGAGGAAAAGATCAATGAAGCATATAGTTATTTCTTTGCTCTCCCCTTTTTGGGATTCCTTCTTCATATTAGTAATTTAAATAAACACATTTATTTGCAAGATTGTTGGCATTTCAGACTGTACCTTTGCAGTCAATTAAGTACCACTAAAAACCAATGGAGCTTCCACCCAGGTAACTATCAAAATGATTGCAGCCATGCTTGGTAAGTTTAGTACTTTGACTGTTTTAGATGCCTGCTTTTTTATGACTATGTTTTAAACCATAGTGTTAGCTTCTCTGCTAACAGAAAAACAATTGTTTGCCTCCCTGCCTGTCTTTCTATCTAGTTAGGTCCTGGATTTCAAGATACAGTATGATTATAGATTATCCTTGGAATAAAGTTGCAAGAATTGTGATAATTAACTCATGTACTTCAAACTTTACCTGTATACCACCACATCTAGTTCCTTGTCTACAGTCTGATATTTCTTAGAACAAGAACTGCTAGATAGCTCAGTGGTTTAGGCTGGGAATTCGAACCCCCTGTGCCTCCTTGACAGAGGCTGGAGTCAATGATCCACAGGGTTCCTTTCAGCTCTGCAGTTCTAAGATGAAGATACTAGAAATTCTTAGTTAAGGCAGAGTCTTGGGGCTGGTGCAATAGACCTATGAGCTAGCTAACTTGCATAATGTGCACAGTAAACCTTTGTAAGCAATGTGAGCTAGTTGGTTGTTGTAGGTTTTTCGGGCTGTTTGGCTGTGTTCTGAAGGTTTTTTTCCCCTAATGTTTCACCAGTCTCTGGCTGGCGTCTTCAGAGGACAGGAGTTAGAACTCTTTCTGTGCTCTGGTGTAGTATAGTTGAGTATTTGTAGCTGTGGGATCAGCTTTTTGTCCTTTTCAGGAGACTGGGTGATTATGGTAATCAGGGTGTATTTTGTTATGGGTGTATTGTGATAAGGGGTGGAGATCTCCCCCCCCCTTATCACAACAATATCGGATCCTGGCTGTGAAAGCCTTCGAGAATACAATGTGAGCAAGTATTGCAAAAATTGGACATCTTCTTCCATAAATGGAAATCTTTAGATTTCCAACATATGTTGTTCATGGAGCAGCGACTCCAAGTTCTGTGAATATGCTTATCAAGTGACATACTGCCTCCACAGTAGGGTGACAGAACATGGCACATTCTCAGGGTGGAAAATCTCAGCAATGGGTTTTAAGAGCATTTCCTTTTTTTTTTTTTAAAGGGAGAGAGCGAGACAAGTAGTTCCTTCACACGTCAAACTGAGCTCTCTTTAATAAGATTAACTGCAATTATGTTCATGATAC